AATTTGCTGGAAAAAAATTGAACCACGTTTAATATTTTACAAATGAATGATAAAAATTAAAAGGTTAAACTATTTATTATCCTATTTATTTTTGTCGTTCTTTTTAATTATTTATTTATTTTTTATATAAAACTGTATTTTACACACGTCGTCAATAAAAATCTTCAATGCTCCAGAAACTGCTTGTCTATTCCATTTTGTTGTTTATCTTTTAGCAATTAAAGCGGCAAGCCTTGTGATTAGGTATTTTACACAAGTTTCATTTTGTTGCATTCCACGATCCCATTTCTCAAATTTCTTCGGTATTAGGTATTCCAAGTTAGGCCTGGAAATGAGAGATTCCCACGGTTTTCAGAACTAGACTGGTTAACAAACCTGTCATGTTATCGGTTCACTGGTTCAACCGGTCATGCTATCGATTTATTAGTTCAACCGGTTAAACCGGTTCGATCGGTCAGAAGAACCGGACGACGTCATAATTATTTAAAAAATTAAATAAAAATACCAAAAATATTTAATAAAAAATAATTTTTTATATCACAAGTCATATTCAAAGCAAGTCATAACATATATAAGTTAAAAATCATAAAATCAAGTAAAACAAAATGATTTAAATTAACTACAACATAATATTTAAGGTAAAACATATTAAATAATAAATATAATTATATAACTATAATTAAAAAATAAATTTTGGGTTAAAAAATCATAACAAAATGATATTGTTTGGTTTATTTTTTTTTAAAACAATCTCGCATGGCTAAAAAACATAGAAGAGCATCTCAAAAGTCTAAAGAGTAAAAATATGAGAACAAAATAATCTCACATTGCTAAGAAACATAGAAGCGCATCACAACTAACTTCTATAAATAATAGAGGTAATTTGACATTCAAAATCATGGAGCCTTTTGGTGATCATTGAGTGAATTATTCTTTCATTTCAATCAAGCTCGAATTTTAGGCTTCAATTGAGCTTCTAAAATTTTTTTTGAGTTCAAACCTTTTTGAGTTCAAGTTTCAATATTATATTTCGAGTTTGAGTTAAACTTGATAATTTTTAGCTTGTGAGTTTGAGTTGAGTTGAGCTTACTTTTAAAGTTTTCAAGTTCGAGTCGAGCTCAGCAATACTCGAGTTCGACTTGGCTCGTTTAACAAACGACGTTGTTTGGTTTAATTTTTTTTTTAAAAAAAACAAAAATCCCGGTTTTCCCGATTTTTTCCGGTTTTCAGCCGGTCCGGTTCGAACGATTCAGCGGTTCTGGCCGGTTCACTAATAGCGGTTCAACCGGTTTAGATTGAACCGGACTAAGCAACTGTTCCCGGTTGAATCGGCCGATCCGATCCGGTTTTCAAAACAGAGGAGATTCCGACTCGAAAAGTTTACGAGTAATTAAAATATATATATTTGATTTTTAAAATTAAATTATTAATAATATTAACATTTATATATATTTTTTAAATACAATATAAAACTTTCATCTACTTAAGATTCAAGTTCGAACTGGAGTTTAAGCTTCAATCGAACTAAGCCTAAGAATGTTTCGGGTTTCAGTTTTTTCGAATTCGAGTCAAGCTTAAAAAATTTAAGATTCGAGTCAAGTCAAACTTTAATTTTTAATTTCGAGTTCGAATTGAACTTGACAATTTTAAACTCGTGATTTTTTTAATTGAGTTAAACTCAAATTTAAAACTTTTCGAGTCGCATCAAACTTAACAATATTCAAACTCGTTTACAACCCTATTCCACACCCATTCGAGGCATATACGTACATTGACACAATCATAGGCACCTGGGATACAATGTGATTCAAAGGGATCCAACCTATGTAAGTGGAAATTAAAACCAATCATAGGCGAGTAGGATTCAATGTGCATCATCGTATTTTCTTTAAAAATATTTACAAATCATAGTTTAAACTAAATAACACATTTGTTAATATTATACCATAAGTCATCCTTATTTCCAATTGTTCAGGTTTGGTCCCTATTTTTCATTTTTGTCAATTTTCTCAAATAAGATGATAAATGTATCATCATTTTTTAATTAAACAATTGTTTAATATAAGCAAAATATAAATATTGAACATATCTATTTCTTTAATATTATAAATATAGTAAACTCGGTCTAAATTAAAATTAGGGGTGGGAATAGGCCAGGTCAGGCCAGGCTTTAATAGACCTGAGCCTGGCCTACGATGATATTTGTAGGCCTGAGCCTGGCCTGTAGCCTGTCAAATGCTTTTATTTAGGCTCGGTCTGACCTGTTTAAAAGTCTGTTTCACAATAAACATTTAATATTTTCAGTTTAGTCATTAATTTTAGAGTAAAATCTCTATTAAGTCACTCTAACTTAGCTTATTTTATAAAGTAGTTACTTTAAATAAGTCGGGTCAGACCAGGCTTTTTACAGGCCACGCCGTAGGTCCCAATAAACCGGCCTGACTTATTCCCACCCCTATTAGAATTAGAAAATACAATAATGTTTCCGCCTAAAAGTAGGAGTTGGGCCCAATTGTATTATGTCGATTGCTTGTCCGATTGAGCTACGCAAATGTTTCTCTGTTACGTCGGCAGAAAATAAATTTGATTTCTTTTTGCGTTTTATTAATACGTATTGTAATTGTACAGGAAGTCGTACTTTACAATAAAGTTGTGGTATAAAGGTGACACTTCATCGACATATGTAATTAAATATATAAGTTGAGATCTAAAGCATAACCTATTTTAAGTGTTGTTTTGCAATCAAAATCAGTGTCGTCATTGTCTTGCCTTTTATATTAAGTTGAGAAATTGTTGTTTATTAGGCTGCCTTCCAAGAACTACGCAAGCAGCACAAAACACCACCACTTTTGTTTTCTTTAACCAAAGGGGTACTTAAATGACAAAACTGCCTTTAATTAAATAATCTTTCAAGGGACGATGTAGTCTTTGTAAAGTTCAATTACCCCGCTTATTCAACATAGGGTCCATGAAAGATTATCTATATAGCCTCTCTTCATGGTTATATAGCCGCGTGGCTCCAAATACAGTTTTAAATCTAAAAATCCATTATTTAAAGGAAGAGAAGAAGAAATCTGATAAACTGTAGTTTATATAAATTTGTCCTATTCTTTAATCTAATAATTGATTTATCAAGATAATGTAAAAATGCTTGAAATTTTAATTTTGATATTATGTATGAAATAAATTAGATTGTGAGGATCGTTATATAATAATTCCCTTTAATATTTAATATAACTAATCAATCAATCAATTAAATATTAAATAGTTGTCTAAAAAATAAAGAATAAAGAATAAAACGAGGTGACTTGAGATTAAGGTCAAATTTGTATACATTGAAATTCAATTACTAAAGTGGTATAAACTCCATCAACAGGTTTCCAAATTAACAAAATTAACAATCGAAACACAATAAAGCTTGTTAATAGAGGCAAAGTGGTATTGAAGATGAACAATACCTTAAAAATGTAATTTTATGTTATTCATCCAGGTAAACAATAATTGTGACGTTGAATTTATCAAGCGATCTCGGTAGTTAAAAAGAGTGTTATTATTTTTAAAATTATTAGGTTCGTACAATTGCGTCCATAGGATGTCTATATATTATTAATGATTAAAAAAATTATATTATATTATAATTATTAAAACTATTTAAAAAAATTGTGATGTTTTTATCTCCTCCTAGGCTAATCCAAATGTAGTTCAGGGTTTTAACACACTGATATGCAATTGTTGTGGTCCAACAAAAGGGTTAATAAGGTAATTTTCATTTGTGGGTTATTTCATATAAAACCCTGTCTTTCTGCTGAAAATAGGACTCGTCTATGTTCCTCTGTGTTCAACTACCCCAAAAATATGAGCTTCGAGCTCAGGTTGCCCTAAAAGTATAGTACCAACTTTAACCAAAATCAAGGCTCCTTTATCTATAATGTTTATGTTTATATTTTAAATACTTCAAATGTCTAGATAAAATTATTATAATTTAAATACATAAATAAAAAAATAATATATATTAATAAAAACTACTTAAAATGTCTACATAAAAATATTATATTTCTAATATTTATTTTAAAATAAACATTTTGTTGAATAAATATTTTGTATTAGTCTGAAATAATTACAATATAATATATATTAAAAATACTTTTAGTTACATAGTAATAAATACTTAAACACTATTGTAAATACAATATTTGAATCTGGAATATCTAGATATATGTTTAAGTACTAAAATATTTTCTTAACAAATTTTAAATTTAATCTTAATCATATCTAAACGAGAGATGATGAGAGGATTTTAGGAGGGAAAGTATAGTGCTCCTATTAAATTTAAAACACATATTCTAAGAGAATATAAAAAATAAAGATAAATAATTTAACTAACCGATTAAATATGTTTGTGGTACTAAAATATTTGTTTCGTACTTAAAATAAATCTTAAATAAAATAAAAACGCACTAAATCTGAGGCACTCTGTTACTTCCGATACAATTTTTTTTTGGGGGGATGCCTCAGTCCTCAATTAACCCTTCTCTTTTTTTTTCCTTTCTATTTCATTGTCTCTCTCTCCCATTACTGAGTTGCATCAACACAATTATCAGCCCCGAAACACATGTCAAGATAGAACTGAAGGGGAAAGAAGGGGATAAAAATTAAGTGAATTCCAAAGTGGAGAGACACGAGAGGTAGGGTGGTGATTATATTTTTGTTCTTCTTCTGTTTTTGTGATTATATTCCTTTCATTAAGCGGCTCACTTCTCTTTTGTTGTTTCTTTTTTTAGCCTTATGTGTGTTATCTTCTACAGCTAAGTGCCCTGGTTCCATGAATAGAAAAATGGGTTTCGTTCAGTTTTGATTGTAAGTGAAGAACTTCGTGTTGGAATCTCTGTTTTCCTCTGTTTTTGGATCATCCTCTGATAGCCTAGTAGTGGTAGAACACTAGAACTTGAGTTTCAAGCCAGTCAAACTCTTGTGATTCAACTTTGGGGTTCTTAAAATTGATCCACACAAAGTAGTTTCATATTTCTTGGTGTTCTCTTTGTTGTATTAGATGAAGCTTTCCGAGAAAAGTTTTTCTGGAGCTACTTTCTTGGGAAACAAGCAGAGGCTTTGGTTATTCCTAATTGGGCCCTTCGACTCTGAATTGAAATCTCCTGACAACAGGAAAATTAGTTACTGATTTGGGGGTTTTACAATTATTTGTGAAATTGTGAAGGAAGAAATGGAGTCAGATCTTCAACTCTACCATCATCATCATATTGATTATCATCAACGTCAACACAATCAGAGGCATATGAACTCTGGGTTGACGAGGTACCAATCTGCACCGAGTTCGTATTTTTCCAACATCTTGGACTGGGATTTCTGCCGAGAGATTCTAAATCAGCCTTCCAGTCCAGAAACAGAACGAATTATCGCGAAGTTTTTGTCTTGCGGCGATGACGCTGCTGGTGGTAGCGGTGATGCTAATACAGAGAAGATTCCAGAGCAGAATGTTTGCAACATAACGCCGACTTCTCCTGTTAGAGACACAACAGTGAAAATCGAGCCGCAAACGCATGTTATGACGCCAATGGATGATCAAACAGGGGTTTTGCAGCAGCAGCAGGCGAATTATTCCCCTGTTCCCCATAATCTATACCAAAGCCAACCTCAACAGTATTCGGTAAATCAGCAACCGGGTTCAGCCACGGGCGGCGGCAAATCGAATCTCGTTAGACACAGTAGCTCACCTGCCGGGTGGTTCTCCAAAATAAACATGGAAAACAGTAAGTGCCTTTGTGTTTTTATATATAGTTTCATGTTAGGACTCACAGGGGCTTCTTTTCACCATAATCAGTGAAAAAGCTTCTTTCAGTACCATGAGCTTGTAATCGACTCTTTTCGTGGATAAAAGAAGGAATTTTCAATCTACCAGACCAATCAAAGATATTGAACTTACCATTTTCTTTGCTCTTTTTGAGGATTTGATTAATATAATTGTCAATTTCATTTGTTCCGAGTACTTTGTCAAAAAATCTGAGAATGACTGCAAGTGTAATGAAGTTGCAGGCTATGGAGCGATGAGGGGAATGGGAGATTATGGAAGCGCTAATAGAAGCAACAGAGAAGCAGCATTCCATTCAGCAAGCAAGCCACCGGCACCACCACCGCCCTCCGGGCTGATATCTCCAATTGTGGAGATGGGGAACAAAAATATTAGCTCAGAAAATGCTGGTTTTGGTGAAAATCATCCCAGCAATTACTCCTCAGGGTTTCCAGCTGCTGCTTGGGACAATTCCATGATGATTTCGGATAACATGTCTGGCATAAAAAGACTCAGGGAAGATGATAGATCACTTTCTGGCCTTGCCTTAGACGGAGCAGAAACTAAGGTAGCATGCATTAATACAATGCCACGTTTTTCTCATATTCAATAATATTCTCATCTAATTATATTTCCCCCCTTTTTGTTGTCGTTGTTGTCAATCTCTGATAGGACGCAGACGACGGCAATCACGGTCGGCCGCCACTTTTGGCTCATCACTTGAGTTTACCGAAAAGTTCATCAGATATGTCTGCCATTGAGATGTTCTTGCAGTATCAGGATTCTGTTCCTTGTAAGATCCGGGCCAAGAGAGGCTGTGCTACTCACCCTAGAAGCATTGCTGAGAGGGTTATCTTTGGACCTTACATTACATCTTTCTTTTATTTTTTCTTCTTCTAAAACTTGACATGCATAATCTATACAAATAAATAAAATATATAATCAATATAGTAAAATATGATTTGTATACGAAATTAAATTTTGAAAAGTATAAGTTCTATATGTATAATTTATATGACTGCATGCAAATTAATGAGTTTGTTGCTGAAAATAGAAAATCCACGAGCTTTATTTAAAATATTTTGTTACGTACATTCAGGTCAGAAGAACGAAAATAAGTGAGCGCATGAAGAAACTACAAGACCTTGTTCCAAACATGGATAAGGTAACAGATTCTTTATTTAAAATTTGGGGTTGGGGGGATGAGAAAAGGAAAAAACCCACGTTTTTATTTCCATGTTTTGCAGCAAACAAACACCGCCGATATGCTAGATTTGGCCGTTGATTATATCAGAGACCTCCAGAAACAGATCAAGGTAATGAACCCTAAACCCACCAAGAAATAGTTGCAACGGAACCTCTCTTTTTTCCATTTTGAGTTCACCACGTCTCGATAGTTTCAGACACTCTCGGATAGTCGTGCAAATTGCTCGTGTTCCTCGCAACGCCAGCGGCAGCAGCAATGATAGCTAATTAAAGCAAATTTTGCAGTTGTTGCGACCTATGATTATTATGTTTTATGCATAATAACCACTATTTCGCAAAAAAAGCAGATACGAAAGCAGCTCGCTCTTTTGCACTAAAAAACAGGGGGGAAATGGATGTATGAAAGCATTTATTATGTGGGTTTGAACCGCAGAGAAAGAAGAGAGCCGGAAAAAAAGCTAGGTGAAGCAGATATCGATGTATGCTGTATAGTAGGAACAAGTGATTTTTATGTAGTAATAATTATGTTTATGAGTTGGACCACAGCTTTTGATTTTGCCTTTCACTTTGTTAGTATTATAGTAATGATGTATGAGAGCACGAACTAAGTAATTTCGTTGGTAAAATAATTATTATTATTTCTTCAGGTTTTAAATTCTAACACTATAAATATTAAGAATATAAGAGGTCAATGTCAAATAGTTAAGAGTTATTTTTAAAAATATATTATTTTTTATTTACTCCAAATTAATAAAAAATAATGATATTTAAGATACTTAAATAGTTTTTAGTATGTTAGATTATATAAATTTCAGTATCCTTAATAATGATGTATAAGGAACAAAATTCTTTTGCCTCGGAAACATGCCACTAACAATGTCTCATCAATACTTTTATGACATGTATTTTTAACTTAATCTTTCACCAAACGGTATCCGTTTTAATTATATTTATTACTATTGCCGTTATCCTTTTCAAAAAAGAAAAAAAAATCATCTTCTACAGCAAAACGACGACTACAATGGGAATTCTAGGCAAAATTCAAGCTGAAAGTTGCATTAAGAAATGAAGGATTTGCCAAACCATAGTCCTCGGACTAGAGCAACAAGTTGAAAAAAAAATCAAATTATGGAAAACTAAATTCATGGAATTCATATTGGATAAATTCATGAAAATAAAAGAGTCCCACAAATTGAAACCAATAAAGCCCGAATCTTGAAATATGGAGGAACTAGAGTTCATGTTGATAAATTCAAAGATATAGAGTTTGAATTCCATACAACAGAGTATATAATTACGAGGTTTACAAATTATAGCGAAAGCTATGCCAAAACCTTGCCTACCTTTCTTCACAATCGTAACAAGATTGGGATCTTCATGGCGATGACAAACCTACTTCAATAACAAATATTCGTCTTTCACCGGAAGTAGAGTGTCTGGCTTCAAAAAACAACATTTACATGATTGCTCTTACTTTTGTTCAAACAAGTTTCATTTATCTGCAACATAAAACACTGGTAATTTGATGATAAGTATCAACTTCCAGTTTACGATTCACATTACTCTGAAGAATTTGATGATAAATGAAGGATTTAATACATTGCAATCAAAGTTTCGTAGTTCTGAAACTGCAATACGAACCCAAGTAGACAGCTCTAGAGCAATAACAAGAAGACAAGAAACTAAGAGATCAATAGAATGCATATTTCCTGATTTCTTGGTTACTAGGGAGACTATTTGAGCATGCTTTTCAAATAAACAAAATGATTTTAATAGATAATTTAAGCTTCCAAAATAATTTGTTCCAAGAGTTTGTTTTGTAACTGTCGTTCTGCTGTAGAAGATGATTCCTGGGATTTTTTTTAGAAAAAAAGACCAGCAGTAGTAATAAATATAATTAAAACGGATAGCGTTTAACGAAAGGTTAAGTTAGAAACACGCATTATAAATGTATTGGTGGGACACAGTTAGACACATATTTTCGAGGTAGAAGAATTTTGTTCATGTATATGGTACTTCAAATTCTGCATTCGTTGTTTGGGCATTGACCAAGGATTTTTACTTGGTTCATACTCCCAAATTCTGCAGTCAGATAGTAATATAGGTAGGGATGGGCAAGGGACCGAACCCGACCCGATTCGATTGTGTCGGCTTTTTTAAAAATAATTGGATTCAGATCGGGTCGGTTGGATTTTATAAAGATGATGTCCGGGTCGGATTCGGGTTTATAGTGAAAAATACCCGACTCGACCTGACCCGGATAAAAACTAATTTTATATATATATTTAGGAATAATTATAATAATATCCCTCTATATATTATTTTTTTCAATTAAATCATTATTTTTATTAAATAAAAATAATATTTTTATTATTTTAGATCAGGTCGGATCAGATTGAAATTTTATTTCAAAAAGTCAGGTCAAATTCTGGTCGGTGGTATATATATTTCGGGTCGGGTCGGTCCAAACCCGACCCTAAATATAGGAGATAAGCTTGTACATTACTTATCCAAATTCGTTTCCAACATGTCCATACATTCTTTTCTAATATTTAATAATTTTATATATTTTTTAGATATTATTTTTATAATTAATTATTAAAAATGTATTGTCCCAACCTACCCAACTAACCTAGTTGATTCAATACAAAGAAAAGAAGAAAATGCTACCCAACCTACCAAACTAGCTGACGATTGTTTACCTAAAGTGAAGGCTAAATAGAGAATTTATGGAGCGAGCAGAGCAAGAAATAAGATTAAACAGATCAGAGATGAAGAAAGTGGAGCTGATATTTGTTCCAGCACCAGGAGTGGGCCACTTGGTGTCAACTGGTGAATTCGCAAAGCGTCTTATCCATTTCGATCATCGAATATCAGTCACTATTCTTTCCATGAAATGGTTTCCGGGTTTTGCCGATGCCTACACCGAATCGCTTGCTGCTTGCGAACCCGATCGAATCCACATAATGCACCTTCCTCAGGTAGATCTTCCCTCACTAGATCTTTATAAATTATCACCAGAAGCCTTTTTCTATGAAGCCATCCAAAACTACTTTGTCCCCGTGAGAAATGCAGTCAGGGATATTATGTCCATGACATCTACTTTGGATCCGGATTCGGGTTCAGTCCGAGTTGCAGGATTAGTTCTTGATTTGTTCTGTTCCCCCATGGTTGATATCGCTACAGAATTGGGTCTTCCTTCTTATATATACTTAACCACAAATGCTGCCTTCTTTGGCCTGATGCTGTACCTATCAACCCGACATCTCCAGAACAGCTCGGTATTTGAATACCCGAAACCCGAGACTGGAAACACGGATCTTGAACATTTGATCCCAGGATTTGTAAATCCCGTCCCTTCACGTGTTCTGCCTTCCTTTGTGTTCAACAAGGATGGAGGTTATAACGCACTTGTCAAGATTGCTGAAAAGTTCGGGCTTGCCAATGGAATCATTGTAAATACGTTTGAAGAGCTTGAGACTTATGCTGTTAATTGTTTTTACAATGGGCAAAACCCTCCAATTTATCCAGTTGGACCAGTAATTCACCTCAACAGTTTGTCTCACCCTGAGTTGGACCAGGTCCAACGCGACAAGATTAGGAAATGGCTCGATAATCAGCCTGAATCATCAGTGGTTTATCTTTGCTTCGGAAGCATGGGTAGCCATGTACCACTCCAAGCGAAAGAAATAGCACTTGGGCTAGAGAAGAGTGAGCGTAGGTTCTTATGGTCCTTCCATATGCCACCGCCACAAAATGATGCTGCCGGAACTGTTCATTACAAGAATCCTGAGGAAATGTTGCCACAAGGATTCATGGAAAGGATTCAAGAGAAAGGGATGATATGCGGGTGGGCACCGCAGCTGGAGGTGCTCGGCCACAGGGCAGTAGGAGGGTTTGTATCTCATTGCGGTTGGAACTCGATCCTGGAAAGCTTGTGGTGTGGAGTTCCGATAGTAACATGGCCAATGCATGCAGAACAACAACTGAATGCATATATGATGAAGGAGATGGGATTGGCGGTAGTGATGAAGTTGGATTTTAGGGGAGGGACAAGTGAAGTTGTGACGGCAAAAGAGATAGAGGAAGGCGTGCGGCAGATTATGGATGCAGGCAGCGAGGTTAGGAAGAAAGTGAAGGAAATAGCTGGGATGGCTAGGAAGGCTGTTACTGAAGGTGGATCTTCATTTAATTCAATTGGAAGATTCATAGAGGATATGATAGGCAACACCTGATATCTATGCTATACATGTAGGTTACTGTAGTGTATATTGAAAATAAACCCTGCAAATGCATCCTTGTTATGGAAACTAATGACGGTGCTATTTGAACATGGATGTGAGTGTTTGATATGTTGAGTGATTTTCTTGTGTATTGTATTAAGTCATCGTCAAGTAGTTCCTCTGGTGAACTTGTACCATCAAATGGAATGTTAAAGCCGCCGTAGAATGAGGGATCAGTTGTTGGCGAACCAAAGGGATAATGAACAGCTCTATCTCGCTACTTGTGAATTGTCCTTCACATAATGCTGCAATTCTGTCCCGGTAATTACATGCTCATTGTCTACCAGACACTGATACATTGCCTAGTCTGTGGGTACATTCATGGTCCTCCGACTTTGTTGACAATCGTGATTAGGGCTATAAACAAACTAAGTCGAATTTGAGAATCGTTAAACTTGACTCGTTTTGAAAATTTTATAATAAAGTTCGACTCGGTTCGAAAACTCGTGATTAAAATTTTCAAACTCAAACTCAAAATCATTAATTGAAGTTCGTAAAAGCTCAAAAAAAAATCTTAAATTTAACTCGATTGAAGCTCTAATTCGAACTTAGACTTTAATTACATGAAAATCTTATACTGCATTTTTTAGAAAAAATCTATACATAAATGTTAATATTATTGATAATTTAATATATTTTTTAAAAATCAATATATATATATTTTTTAAATTACTCGGAAATTTTTCGAATCAAATATTAAATAGATTATTTCAATTCGTTAAGAACTCTAATCGATGTGAAACTTTAAATCTATTAAAATAAAACATTTATTAAGTTTTAACCAAATCAATATAGAAAAAACTCACGATCTAAACCAATAAGGGGGTGTTTGGTTCAAGGAATATTGGCCGGGAATCTCATTCCCGGTAATGTTTTATTACCAATAGTAGATTTTTTGGGGTATATTACCGGGAATGTCATTACCTCCATTTCCTTAGGTATTGTTGGATTACCGGCGTTTTGGACTAAAATGCCCTTAATTTTTTTCTTTCAAAAATATCCTTATTCTGTCATTAAATAATAAAAATTCTACGAAGGTTAAATTACAAATTTATCCTTACACTATTTTAGATTTATAAAAAAAATCTATAATTAAAATTTTATATGGGTTAAAATAAATTTTACCCTTTCATTAAACATTTTTATATTTTCAATTTTGTAAAAAATTTATATAAATTTTATGAATTTAAATTTTTAAAGAAAATATATAAATATTTTCTAACTTGTTAAAAAAAATATATAATAAGGACAATTTGGTTAAATATATATATATTCTAATAATCCTTTATTTCTTTAATCAAACACGATCAAATATAACATCCCAGTAATCCTATTCCTTGATAATCTTATATTACCACTGGTAATCTTACATTTTGTGAATCAAACGCAACTAAATGCATATCAGAATTTTGTGGTAATGGCTAGAGCCTTCCATCTACGCCCATGCTGTGGGTGGAAATTTCTTTTGGCACGGCAGGATAATAGCAATATTCGGGGACAGGTTGATCAGACTGAACATCTAACATTTCTCCACAGCCATCGTTTTTCCTGCCAAGTGGCAGCCTTATGATTTTCAATCAAAGATTCACCAGTTTAATTTTTTTTAATCCATTGTGTTTTCTACAGTAGATTTAAAGTTGATGTGATTACGCACTGTCTTCTGTATTTTTTTCGAAAAATTACCGGTGATCGGTATATTTATTGATCTAACATTGGTTAAATTATATTTTTTGATCTAACGCCCGTAGCAGTAAAGCTCATCATCTAAACTGCGTTATAACTGATTTGACGCCACGTGGAGTATAGCGCGTCCCCTGTACCGCGCTATACGCTGATTGGGTTACACGTGAGATATAGCGCGCCCCCTACACCGCGCTATACGCCATGTAGGGGTATAGCGCGGATCAGGGGCCGCGCTATACGCCGTACCAAAATTATATTTAACGCGGTCTCTGGTCCGCGCTATATAATAATTACATATCGCGATGCAAGTACCGCGCCTTATATGTTTATAAATACCCTCCTCCGGTTACGTTTCTCACATCTCATCTCTCCTCTCAACTTATAAATTAATACAACAATTTCGTCAACAAGTAATAATTCTGGCAATCTTCTCATATTTGATTTAGAAGTTCCTGCAATTTTTCGTTATAAATTAATTTTGTTATAATTTTTTAATTATACTTATTGTTTATTTATTATCATTATTTGAAAAAACAATTATACTAATTATATTCAATTAATTTTTATGTTTGTAAAATTGAAAAGCAGGAACATACGTCGAAATAGTTTTGTGGTGCAGGTAAAAATATAAAATTATATTATTTAATTTATTTACGTTGATGTGTAAAAAAAATTATTGTGTTATATTTTCGTTCATATATAATTTATTTAACCAGGTTTGTTTCAGTTATTTTTTTTACAGATATAATATTGTCGCATTTTTAAACTCAAAGAATGGCGCGACTTTCAGCTATTGTTTATTATGATGGTGAAATTCGAGAAGATGAAACCGGCGTTGTTTTCGTATCAAATGAGCGTGTTAAAATATCATTCAAGAAAAACATAACTCTTGAGGAGCTGATAACGGTGATTTCGAGGAAGATTCCATGTTGGAAGTAGTAGAAGAATGTCGTCGTTGCAGTACAGATTTCCAACATCATTGTTGCCATTAACTTATACAACGTTCGAACTTTCGAACAATGATGATGTTCAAATGATGGTTGATGCTCAAAGTAATTATTAAGACGCCGCTATTGAGATGTATGCACATTTTGTTCAAGTGCATGTTGTTCGGGGTCAATCATTAAGCTCCCACTATGGGCTGACTGAGCAAGTTGACAGCCCGACTACAGTAATGTGTAATGATTTTAATGCCATAATAGGGAGACATTCATCCGCAACTCCTTACGATATATACCGAGGTGGGTCTACGAACAATCCGTATGGAAACACTGCGTCCAGTTCAAGGGGAAGACATTCATCTTCAAATTTCTTTGACCATATGGAGATGCCATCGACGCAACCATCTGTGCAGTTTCCATTTCACACGATGGCTTCAAGCTCTAGGGGGAGGCATTCGACTTCGAGCTTTTTCGATCTCAATGTCGATATGCATTATGGTTCAAGGGGAAGACATGCAAGTAGTAGGTTCTTCGACCTAAATGTGGAGCGCATGGAGGAACCATCATCTCCACTAGAAGAACCGCTTTGTGAGTCTGGTGCAGATGGTGTTGATACTGGACTATTCATTCACCCAGAATCACCGCAATTCAACTCCGATGATGATGATGTAGTTGAAGTACCAGGAAATATAACACAAACTGACCCTTCTGTACACATGTATGAAGCTGATTATGGTGCAATGTACGGGCCAGAATTTGCGGATATGCCTCATCTCGGTGACTATGGATATTACTCATCAATAAATAATGATGAGTTATCTTTAGGCATGGAGTTTTCAAGCAAAGAAGAAGCGATGATGGCTATAAAAATTACAATATCCGTAATTCTGTTCAGTCCAGAGTCAACCGATCGACGACCGAAAAATATGTATGCTACTGTGCCTGACGTGAAAATGGATGCAATTGGATGGTTCGCGTATCGAAAATAAAGAGGAAAAACAACATATGTGAACTAACATTATACAACGGTCCTCACACATATTGTGCTGGAGGGGTCAACCAAGATAATCCCAACTTGGACTCTGAAGTGATATGCCAAGCCATCATACCCATGGTAAAAGCAAGCTCTCATATAGTTGTTGCAGTGTTGATTTCAGCTATACAATCGCAGTATGGGTACACTGTCTCCTATAAAAAAGCTTGGTTGGCAAAACAAAATGCCATTGTCAAACTTCATGGCGAATGAGATGCATCTTACAACGAACTTCCAGGTTGGTTTAGGCTGGTGTGGACGTTGAATCCTGGGACAATTGTGGACTTCGAAACCTCCTATGCATATCATAATGATCGAGTTCTTCGCGATTGATGCCAATTCTACCGGGTTTTTTGGAGTTACCCACAGTGCGTTAATGCTGCCAAATACTGCAAGCCTGTGGTCCAGATCGAAGGGACTTTCTTGTATGGAAAATACAAGCAAGTTTTATTATTGGCAGTTGTCCAAGATGTCAATCACAATATTATTCCAATTGCTTTTGCTCTTGTCGAAGGAGAATATACAGATTCTTGGGTTTTTTTCCTCCGAAATTTACGTGCACATGTTATCACGAGGGAAAACATCTGTGTCATTTCAGATCGCGAAGCTGGGATCAAAGAAGCAATGGAGTCTTTGGGTCCAATGTGGAAACCACCCTTTGTCCAACATAGGTATTGTCTCCGACACATTGCTGCGAACTATCATGGAAGGTACAAGAAGAATGATGAGCGACAATTAATTGTGCGCATGGGTAAGTGAAAGCAAGTTAGTAAGTTATACATTTTTTGATCATTTTAATTTTGCAAAGAAAGCAAGTTAGTAAGTTATAAATTTTTTGATAAGGTTACGAACTACTTCCTCGAACGTTTGAATCAATGCTTCAAGATTTGCGGGCGAAGAACTAGGAAGGATACGATTACATTAGCCTCATCGACAAAGAAATGTGGACGAACGCATATGATGGTGGATATCTGTAACATCCTCCATGTCGGGTGAGTGATTAATTTACAAAGTTTCAACATTTGATGATTAAAGTAGAATAATTATATAGTTTAAAAAGTATGGTTAGTAAATATGAGATGGAGGTAGGGACCAAATGGTCATTTGTAAGGAAAATTTAAAAAAAAATGTTATGGGGATATATGAGAACCCACGTGGAGTATTAGGTTCCAGAATACTCTCATTCCTTCTTTCTTATTTCTTCTCTTCCTTCTCCAAACGTGGGCTTGCAATTAAAGGTAAGAATCTGAACCTTGGTAGTTTCTTTGATTTTTAAGATTGGAAATGAAAGCTTGGATGTTATATAAGCTAAAGGAAAGCTTATATGACATTAAAACAACAAGATAAGTGATTTAGAGAATGATTTGGAAAATGAGTTTTTAGATGAAATTTTGATATGGATGAGTTTTTGATGTTTAAATCAGATTTTGACTTGTCAAGAAGCTAACTAAGAAGTATGAGGTGTTAGAATTCAAATTAGAACATATTGGAATTTGGGTTGGATTCTTACATTTTA